GTCGGAGAAGGGGGGAGGGGGTTCCTGCCAATAGTCCACGTGGGTCGGATTATTCACCCTCCACTACACAAACAACAACGACCACGAGCCATGTGTGCGAGATCACTTTATCGCCAAAATCTGTGTTGTTGAAGAGGGTCGGTCAATGAAAGTTCTCTGCAATCGCCGCCGTTAAATCCGCAATCATGAAAGTGAAAGTGATATCTCGCAACCCCGACGAATACCTGCGTGAAACTAAACGCGACATCCATAAAGGTAGGTTAGGACCACTCCACTTGAAGCCGTATGTCTTTACATTGACTGTTGGGTTCATGACAATTTTCTATTTCTCAGTGCAAAGAAATTATGACCCCGCTCTCCACCCTCTGGAGGCTCCTCGGGAGTATGCCCGGGCCATGAACTCAGTCAAGCTGGAGAGGATCTTTGCGAAGCCTTTCCTTGGAAATCTCGACGGTCACAGGGATGGTGTGTCATGTCTTGCAAAGCATCCTGAAACTCTTTCGTTTCTGGCAAGTGGTGCCTACGATGGAGAGGTCAGTACCAATTTTAAAGTAGAAATTATTTCTCATCTTTTATTTCAGAGTCAGTACTGCTAATGTTATTGCTCTAATATCTACTTTATTTAGATAAAATTCTGGGATCTGCCTCAACGTATTTGTAAACGATCATTCCAAGCTCATGATGGATGTGTCCGTGGTTTAACATTCACACCAGATGGTAAAAATATGTTGTCGATGGGAGATGACAAAACAATCAAAACATGGAGCATGGAGAATGAGCAAGAAGATCCCACCAATACTATTTTGAGCAAGGTATCTATTTTTTAGCACACCGTTGTGTTGACATCTCATCAAAAAATGGTTATCACACTGTATGAACTCTTTTGTGCAGACTGTCCTATTATCTCTTTCACATCAAAGAAGCCAAAATCAATTTGTGACTTGTGGTGAAGTTTGTCAGCTGTGGGAGCACGGGCGTAATGAACCTATTCGCTCATACCAGTGGGGTGTCGATAGTCTTCACCATGTATCATTTAATCAAGTTGAAACTAATTTATTGGGCAAGTATTTCTGTTACCGGATGTGATACTGTTTTTCTCTACTGGCAGTGTATTTATATGTCACTCTTTTCTTTTCCATTGCAGCTGCTTGTGCTAGTGACAGAAGTGTTATTCTGTATGACACAAGAGACTCTGGGCCAGTACGCAAAGTTGTTATGAAACTTAAGGCAAATAGTGTTTGTTGGAATCCTATGGAAGCTTTCAACTTTACCGTTGCAAATGAAGATTTTAAGTACGTTTCAACAACAGTGTTAGAAATTTATTTTAAGCTTGCAACATTTTCAAAAGTAACATATGTTTTATTTTCTGTAGCCTTTACACATTTGATGTACGTCAGATGAGGGTACCGGCAAATGTTCACATGGATCATGTTGGTGCTGTAGTTTCTGTGGACTATTCACCTACTGGAAAAGAATTTGTCAGTGGTAGTTATGACAGAACAGTTAGAATTTATGAAGCTCATAAGGTGTGTATCCTTTTCTATCTCCAGATTTTTTCCTGTGCATTTTCTTTGTCATTGAATCATTAAAATAATGGTGTTTTTTGTCTTTCTAGGGTCATTCCCGTGAAGTGTACCATACAAAGCGTATGCAGAAATTATCAGTTGTTTCATGGTCTTTAGATAATAAATACATTATGAGTGGATCTGATGAAATGAACATAAGAGTTTGGAAAGCACGGGCAGCTGAGAAATTAGGAGCGGTGAGTTGAACCGCTTGGATAGGTATTTTACGTTACTGTTGCAGAACATCACTTTCATGGATTCAAATCTTTGTTTCAGCTGAAACCAAGAGAAAAGGCTGCTCTTAACTATCATCAAGCTCTACGGACCAAATTTGCTCAGCACCCGCAAATTAAAAGGATTGCCCGCCATCGGCATGTACCCAAACACATTTACAATGCCCAGAAAGAACAACACGCTATGCGAGACAAAGCAAAGAGAAAGTAAGTTCTCTCTCTTAAATCAATCAATTAATTTTCATTGCCTTTTCCAAAGTTTTATCCTAACACCAATTTGTTATCTGTTGCAGAGAGGGCAATGTGCGGAAACACTCCAAGAAAGGTGCCGTGCCTTTTGTTCCAGAGAGGAAAAAGCACGTCATCAGGGAGCACGAGTAATCTACTCCTGCTTCTGTATTGTCCAGGTGTCCCTCCATCCCTCTTAGATATTGTGACTGTTTATTCTAAGCAACCCCCAACGTGGTCAGCATTCTATTTTACTTCTCAATGAAGTCGTGCAGAATAAATTTCAACTCTTGCTCCTAGCTTTTGTGTTTTGCCGAGTGCGTTTGACCTTCCCTCTTATTCCCTGTGCGTCGTGGGGGGGAGGGGGTGGATGCGGCGGGGGCGGCGTCGCGTCGACGGAGCTGTTTGGGGTGAAAAGAAAAGTGGGCCGCGGATGACTCGGCGCTGTTCGATTAGCGGCCGTCGGCATTGTGTTGTCGGGCTGCCTCCGCGGGGCTCGCGGGCGAGCCTTTCATCGGCCACGAGGCCCCCGGGTGGTCGCTCCGGACACGGCCCCGGACACGGGCGGGGATGCCCCGTGCCTTGCACGTGCCGCGCGAGGCGCCCGCACCAAGGCCCGCGGCCCCGCAGTGACGCGCCGAACCCCCCGCCGGCGAGGACGGCGAGGACAACGCCATGCTCACCGAGACCGTGACGTAGCCGCCACCGACTCGACGTCACCGTCATGGCCCCGTTGGGGTTGACCAGCGTGTGCGTGTGTCTGCTCCTGCTGTCGGGCCGCGGCCAGCCGCAGCAGACCGAGCTGGGTGAGGGTCTCGGGTCGTATACTAACCACTGAGAAATAAGAGTCGAATCGACGACGACGTCGAAACCTTGTCGACGAGGTGAAGTCGACGTCGAAACGATGGAAACTTTTCGAGGTTTGTGTGCTAGAGTGCCGTGTGGGTTTTCTCTCCCGCAGGCGGACTGGGCCAGGACTGCGACTCGAGCGCGGACTGCCGCGAGCACGCGCACTGCGGCCCGGCCCGGGTCTGCGTCTGCAGGGAGACGTACGTGCCGGACAGGGACAACGCCACCTGCCTCGCAGGTACTACCGTCACTCGGGACCGGCCCGTCACGCGTGACTGGAGATTTTGAAACCGGAATTTTTTGTTTTGGAAAAAA